AAAAAAATTGTGACAAAAATAAATCATTAAATTTTTATTTTTGAAGAAAATATAAGCTTTGTTCTCAAAATTCATATCTTTTTCGATATAAGATCACCTGCATGAATTCAGGGAGTGGAATTGCATGTCGAGAAAAATGAACCTTCTGAAGGTATTTATCCTGTTGACAACACAATAATAGAAATATAAGTTAGCTTAGACGTAGCAATGTATTCTAAAAAAAGCTCACTATAAACTCTCCTTCGAGCACAGATTTTTAACATGACTGGCCTTACAGTACAAGTAATTTATTTATTTGTGTGCATTTGAGATGTTGTGGACATGTAAAGGTATGACACCACTGCTAGAATAGACAATTGAGTGGTTTCCTAAAAAACAATGTCACTGAGAACAGAATTAATGTTGAAAAACAGCTAATGTGCACAAGAAATACATTCATCTTAACCCATAAAATCGGAAAGCTTAAGAAGAGGAACCCTTAACGCATAATGAGTTTCCATCTTAAGAAACAAAAAGGTGATAAACCTGGATAATCCGGATTGTTGAGGCTTTAGGTTGGCAATCTACCCCTTGTTGCTCAAGTTTCTCAAGAGTGGCAGCATCAACATGCTCAATTTCGACAGTTAATACTCCACATCTACCAAACCCAATCCAAGTTAGTTTATTAAAAGGGTCATCTAAACAATATGTATATTAACTATCAAGTACAAGAAGAAAATAACATTGTTTCTTTCAACTCCAACCTTTTAGCAAACTCTTCTACTGTTGCACTGTCATCATAGCTGCCCACCATATGATAATGACATAGGGCACTTGCTGGACAGTTCTCCATTGGATCCAGAACAATTATCTTCATTGCCATTTGGGAAGCTGCTTCGCACAACATACGACCAAGTTGCCCTCCTCCCAAAACACCCACAACCTTTTCTGACAGACCATGGACTTGTGTGTCAGTGTTCCTGCATAAGCAACATCACCTAAAATTAATCAGAGCTATAATCAAACACAAAACCACAAGTTCTAGTATTGGAATTCATATAGTAAAGTATGAAGAATTCAAACTAATT